AATAAAAGGTTCAGTATGATTAACAGTAGTTTTTTCCTCGTTTGAGATTCTATATTTAATGGAGAATGAAGTGTTGTTTGTTATGAAAATCGATGTTATTTAAGGGAGCTGATGAAAAGCAATCTTCATGATTCAACAACCTAACATAATGGACTTTATTTGATTGATTAAATTAGCTTATTCACCAGGTATTTGGGTATAAGCCTCATCTCAAGTATGAGAGCTAACGATATTATCCGTTTGCTCAATCCAATGTAGAGAAGATGAAGCTTAGTTTCCGGATGTTGGATGCCTTAACTACTACTAAGTCACTTTCCTTTCATACACATAGTTCTCTTTATCATCTTGAATAAAGCAAGAACAAACATTCCTTGTACTATGTGACGGTTTTGAAATTTATTCTACCATGTATATCACTAATTCCCCAAATCTTTATTGCCGAACTTTTAATATTTCTATTCATAATTCGCATAAATATAGCTTGTTATACCATTATCAAGCTTCCTTGAACCAGTTGAATCGAACTCATCCATGATTCGTGTTTATGCGGCTGCAATTCTATCTGGTACAGTTCAAATAACTCGTCAACCTTTATTGTTCTTGATAGCTGTACATCATTTAAACCGGTGAGTGTTTATTAAAACAGAAAAATAACTATGAATACAACATCACTTTCATAAGTTTAGATGTATGAAAGATACACTTTATTAGGAATCAATCCATAATAATATTATTATTCTGCTGATTGTCAAAATTTTGTGATAAACCTGATAATTTATTGCGAACATGAGAGACCTTGAGAGAAACCTTGATGAACTCTGTAATCAGTCCAGACAATCGGAAAACTGTAATTACGAAAGTATAATTTACAGTGCTAGGATTAACATTCACGATTTCTATTGAGGTGTAGAATTATAATTAGGGTTTAAGATGTACAGTTATAGTTCAGGATTCGTGGTTAGGATTTGCAATTAAGATATTGTTTTCCAGTCCTAAGCCTAAATTCTTAATCCTTATCTTGACCTTTAGTATATAGTGTTGCTTTCGTTATCAAAACTAACTATTTACGTTTAACAGATAATATTCTGTTTTGATATGTGCACTAAAATCATGAAGATTTTTGCTTCTTCCGATTGACTCGCTCTCACTTTTAAGAATTGTTAATTTCACTGTAATCTTTATCTACCGCTGCCATTCTGGATTTGCCAACGACAGAACTGAATCTTGTTTTACTTACATCATACCCCAATCACATATAAGCTTTGTGAGGCATCTCAATACAAATGTAACAATATCCGTCTTTTACCACACGGCTCAATATTTAAACATTGTGGTATCCTTAAGGCTATAACACCCGGACTAACTCCCCTAAGATCTGTTAATATTCTACGCATTTTACTGCAAGCTGAAGTACTGTCAGTGAAATTGATGAAACAAATAGTGGAAGAAATAAAACTGAAAGATACGATTGAAACCCACTTTGGATTGACTCCATGATAGCGTTAAACTATATACTTAATACAACATCACGCTTAAGGACGTAGCTAATAAAATTAACTTTACTCATGAACAAACTACGCTATCACAATGGAAGTATGTGTCATCAGTTATGGACTCTGGTGATTTAGCTCCTAGAAAAATACGTAGGTATGACTGATTGTATTGAGACTTGGCTTGCAGGACCTAAATTTCTAACAACTGAAAGGATGCAATGGCCTAAAGATGAACGAGGCGAAATATTGAAGTTCTCAGTCGATTTATAGACAAAGAACATCATAATTTTTCCTTTGGACAGAGTTTTGTATTTTTAATCATCGTCTAAACTCAGACGACGCATAGCTTGGCTCACCCAACTCAAGTGTTACCCGTACAAAGGAGTGAACTTCTCACCCTTAATGACTTAGACAATACCGAGAAAGATTTATTAGGTTATGTACAGAAGCAGGAATTTTAGAAAGCTCTTTTATCTAACTTAGAGACACGCTAAGCGGCATAGATACCTCACAGGGTGAAGTTCGTTACTAATCTATGTTTATTACTGGATAAAAAACCGCTTTTTGGACAGATCGCTGTTTTATAAGCCTTGATTTCACGTGTACCTCAATCGTGTAATTAGACGCTGTGTTAAATTGAACATCTATTTTGTATCTACTGGACTCTCATATCACATACGTAATTTAACTTAGAATAAATAACGAACAATTTTGAACATTGGGAATATTATTCGAAAATACAGAATAAAATAAATTATAGGTGCGCAATTTCTATGGCGCAAAGGATGAGTCTGTGCCACTGTAACTGATTCTAATACATGTCACCTAACGTTTGATTTTACAATATAATAACTTAAAAGGGGTTTTGTGGAGATTTCAGTATTTTTATAATTGAAATCATGGGTCAATTGAAGCTAGACCACCATGGAAAACCTGGAAGTACTGAATGGCCGTTTCGTCGTATCATGGATGCGCACTGCTGAGGAGTCTCACAATAGGACGGAACGACTGTCCAATGCTTCCAGGTTTTCCATGGTGGTCTAGCTTCAATCGACTCATGATTTCAACTATGAAAATCTACTAACTGTAAAGGATTAAATTTTATCAAAAGTGAGTTACATAAATGAGTGATAATAACCTAACTCCATGTTTTTATTCCTTAACTTTCTGATTTCTTCATTCCAGCTATTTATACAATAAAGATAATTGGAATAGTGAATTTACTCAACAATTTGTACGTTTATGTAAATTATTCCCTCAAGTGACAAATATCAAACCGACATCATCATCGTCTATACAAAAATTCGATGGTAATAAAACAGATATTCTAAATTTACTACGCTTTTATAAACAACCTAATAAACAATGGTTACAACAAACCAAATCCATCAAATTGAATACAAATTTACATGTTGGTATCCATAATTCATTAGTTCATTTAATTCATAATAATGATAATGATAGTAATAATGATTATGAAGACATAACTAATGCCAAAACATTTAATGAAGCTATTTTAAAAGCATCTATTGAATGTTACAATATTGATACCCTACCTAAACATCGTCAACTTTATTGGAATGAATTATTTGAAAAAAAGGACAATATGAAGAAATGAAAATCAATTTCAATATAGAAAATAAAGTTTAAAATATGATCATACATCTAAAGATACTACTATTTATTTACTTATTAAAGGAACATGCTATTTTTATATTGTATGTAAATCATCCATAGATGAATGTAATATGATATTTACAAACATGTAAATAACATTTAATAAAGATGTATTTTATTCATCACAGCTCTTATATCTATAAATAGTTTATTACAAAAAAAATTCATTTACTTATTTGTTGTTTCAATCATTTAACAACTGACTGAAGTTGGTAGATACGGAAAGTCCACCTAGGGGAAATGGAAAAACCTGATTCCAAACCACTGGTACAAATGAGCTCCAGTATCCTGAGGGAACAAATGGTGTATGAATCAATTGTTGGTCACCGGCTACCATGGGACTGCATCTCCTTACGATGCTTGACTGCCTTGTGGATTAGATCTTTAGATCAAAGACCCTCTAAGAAAACCACCTGCTTCAGTTTTGGCACCTGGGCAGTATCATAGCCCTCACACAAATCAAACGAGATTTATGTGGGGCACTAACAATAATAAGAGTGTACAATTAAGGCGCAAGTAATTTATTACACTAGACAACGTATTTTTAACTGGTAATAAACAAGTCACTTGGTGATTAAAACCTACTCCAGTATCAATAGATTCTTCATATAATATAAATGTAATATGAAATCATCTTGTATTACAAGAGAAAACCAGTTTGTACAACTCTCAATATAACAGAATATTTTTAGGAAATGTCTATGCTTTATGTGGTAATCAAAGTCATAATATATATCTAGTCTAGTACTTAAGTGAAATTTAACCAGCTGTCTTTACTGACTTTATTTCGCGTGTATTGTGTTATTGGTATCGATTGATTAAAGTTAACCGGTAGGTGTTGGTCCGTAAGATTGACGTTTTTTCGATTGCTTGCAACCGAACTAGAAGCTTAGAAACAACGATAATAAATATGTAGAAGCAGAAGAGCTTTTAATCACAGAAAAGTTTCGATCAATGTTGAGAAGGAATGACAAAGAAGCAAGTCTCACAATTCTTAAGATACCGACTATTTGAATATTTCACAAGCGAAAACCGTCAGCCAGTCGGTCACAACGTACAACTTTGCAGCCGTCGATTCAAATCCCAACGGTAGAAGTAGTGAAATTATAAGCAGTAATCGGAAAGATAAGGGTTTGAAGATGTTATTCAAAGAGTATAATCCAGTGAAATGAATTCGGAAAGAGAAAAAAAAGGAGATTTGAAGAATTCAGAAGATTAGAATGCGGGACAACACAAAGAGTGGATGCACCTGTGCCATTACAAACGATTTTGGGCCATGTCATTCAAGGTCTTTAACCATCGGTTGTTATCATATCGCGGATCCCAACCAGGTAGTCCACAACTACCAACATGGCGCTGTCCAACTGTCAGTGATTTTATGGATTTGTGCCACGTTTTGGTCTGGCCACTCCTAGCTTTCTTTCAACCTAATCCTACGCCACATGTTCAAGTTTTTCAAGTAGAGACTCATTTTCAAATTCGTCCAGTAAACGGAGACACAATACCCTCAAGATACATTGGTTGGTTTGGAATCAGCGTTTTCCAACTCTCCTAGGTGGACTTTTCGTGTCCACCAACCCGGTTAAAGCGCCGGACACTCACTTTTCGTCTTCTCAATTTCGTAAAAAAAACTCGCCACGAGAAGGCAGAGAGTAGGACTTCCCTAGCAGAGGCTATATATGCGTGGCCATATGAGAGCATTTGAAGAGGGAGAGCGGACTTTCCCCACTCCCGGCCGTACCAGGGCATTTGGGGGACCATTTTCAAATTTGTCCAGTAAACGGAGACCCAATACCACAAATGGAAAACAAATAAAAAATAAACACGATTGGTTCATAGTTTAGTAGTACTAATAATTATTCTTATTATATTAAAGAGAAAAGATCTGTACAGATGATCAAAACATAAATCAAATTTCAAAGAAAAAGTTGAAGTCAAAGTGATCGTTTTCTGATGAAAGACATAAGGAGAATGAGAAAGACTGAAATTGATTGAATACAAGTATAAGGACAAGTACTACTACACTTCTAATAATGTACCGACACAACATTTACAATGTGGACAGTCATGACGTAGAGCTTGATATCGTAAATTTTCCAATGTTAAATGTGAAATATGATGCTTCTGAATAACATCATTTGTACTGAGATCAGAAACTAGTTTATTGTCAGTTAGATTTTCCATTTCATCGCCTATATCTTCATCGTTTAAATCGGATACACCAGCTTCGAATTCCTTTTCATCAGTGGATAGTTCAATTTCTTCAATGAAAGAGTGAAATTCATTGAGGAATCTGTCTCCTAGATAATCTGAAGTGATAAAAATAGTTACTAAGTTTAGCAACTATAATTTTGTTCTTGGAAATTCATATTATTAGCAAATTAATCATCTTAACTTTTATCACACAAGTGAAATCATTTACTGAAACAAACCTTATCAATGTTAGCTACATACTATCTAGTATTTCTACAGATGTCAGTTGTTCATAGAAACCACCTTTGAATGAAAACTATTACAGATAAATATGCCAATGTTGACTTGGACAATATCATGCAATACACAACGATAAAGAGAAAGTAAATTCCATGATGATAACAGTAAAACGTTTTCTTTAGGACAGAATGGTCTCGACTCTAGTCACGAATACGTTTGAAGAATACATACTTACTAGTTCTTCAATCGAATCTTAAAATCATACTGAATTTTATAGGCAGTGATGCAAAGAAATACATATTATGAAAGTGACAGTCCAGAATTTCGGAAACTGAAGTCATGGATTCAAACATTACTTTAAAGGCAGAAAACAAATGCTAAATACAACCAGAATAATGAATCCAATAAAAGCTTACTTAAATCGTTCGGTATTGTGTCTGCCTGCTGTTTCGCAAGTTCTGTTTGACCGTTCACATAACCATTCTCAATGTATACTGGATTTATTTGTGAAAAAAGTTTCTCCAAACGATTACGTAAACGTTTTCTGTCCTCCACTAAACGTTGAAGTAATAGTTCACGAATTTTTGCACGTTTGGCGGCTGCAGCACGTCGATGCGTAAAAAGTATTACATATTCTTCAACTGTTGCAGCTTCCATTTCTAGTTGAGCATTTACACGTTCTAATGTACAGCGTTCCTCTGTAACAGAACTAAGCTTTTCCATACATTTCAGAAATTTAGCTTCCAATTGTGTATGAGCAACCTTTAAAATAATTTTTTAAAAATTCACCATTTAATTAAGTTATTTTCCTCTCTCTATTTCTCTCTCTCAACTAATTAAAACTTTAACTATTATTTATCGAATTCGAAACCCTAAGCACTATACTATAAGGGTTCAATGATGTTCATCATTTTATGAAAGATAAACAATCCATTAGTTCTTCATTGCCCAGTGTATCTGATATGTCCGTGTGTTATGGTAATCTTTCTCAACTCTGAAATCAATAGAATGAACCACTATATTTCTATACTCTTCCTGCCGGAACAATTAACTAGAGTAAAAATAATCAGTTTGATAATGGAAGTTTGATTGATGACGACCATAGTTTAGATGAATGAACATTTCAGCTCCACGAACTGAGCAGTTACAAATAGTCAAGAAGTCCGTATATCTGGATAACTGTGTAAGTGCTAGTAGTGATGTGAGTGATGGAATCAATTGACGTATAGTAAAAGCCAGAAAGGTATATGCAAATCTGGACCATCTTTGGTCCCCTCTGATGTAAATCTGCCTGTAAACGGTCGCATTCACAACGCGTCGATGAGAACAGTTTAACCTTATGTGTGAGAAACCTAGCCTCTCCAAGTTGAGGATGATGGACGACTCTCTGTGTTTGATCATCGTTAACTCTGAAGGATTGCTGACACTAAATCTCAACACGATATTAGTAATGCGTAGGTCCGACAAAGTGTGTGGGTCATTTCAAGGCCTGACGTAAATTACAGTCGCACTAATAATAAATTTCTTTACTAACATGATAATCGATATTCACTAATCCAACGTTGCCAACTTCTACAGAACAGAAAAAAATCGAACATCTGATACTAGGATTTCGTAAAAAATATTAGTAAAAGTGTGCTTAATTAATCTGATTATTGATTGACTATTAGGTAATTCAGATGAAATATAATTGTAAAATTAACAGTGAACTTCAACCACAAACTAATTTTAGTTACCTGGAGATTTTGTAACTCTTCAACATGTGATGTTAACTCGTTTTGTTCCATACACATTGAACATTGTACAGCATTGTCTATTACATTTGAAGAATATTTACCCACTAAATTTTGAATGGATTCTTCCAATAGATTAACACAAGAAACTGGATCGTTTAATTTGTCAGGTTCATTGATTTTTCCATTTCCATGTTCAAACCACTGACACATTACAGAAACACGCGTGAACAAATTTCTTAACAATACAACCTCATCTGTTAGTTGACTTAGATTAGTCTACAATCAAATTTAAAAATGTAACAGTGGCAGTTTAATAACGATTAGACGGTGTTACCAAGACATTGACGTACTCTACATTTTGTATTATGATCGAATCTTTTTTTTATAATGGAACCTATTTAGTAAGAGTAGTTCCATGTACTCAAACACTACATACAATGGCCAATAACCAAAATGTCCCGACTGACGAAAGTAAGTGTAGTGAATTTCAAACAATACAATACATTCAAGAAAGCTAGTCAATTATACCAATGACCAACCACTGTTATACTATTATAGCTCTGTGCAGCAGAATAGAAATATTTCGAGTTTTGTCACGTTATATACAACTATAATATGATCGAGACCGAGAGTTTTACAACCAGTAGGTGAGATACTCCATCAATAATGTTAAACACAGACTGAATCACATTACATCCAATACACGATTCACGAGCAAAACATAACAAACCACAGAATACAGACTAGGCACTACTTTATTCAATGAGAAGTACAAACAGTCTATATTCGGCGAGTTCAGAGTAGAAATCAATAAGAACGAGAAAATCACAATATAAATACTTAGTAAAACGGGTCTGTGAGTCCATGCTCAGTGAATGGCTAACTACATCTTAACTTCCCTAGTCATCCATCAAAATCAGACATGAATAAAACAGTGTACATCATGTTACAACCTCAAGAACACACGCTCGCCCCCCCCCTATATGAGAAAATATCAAAACACAAATCAAAAACATAATTTCGTCCAACTTGAAAAGATATTGATTAGTTTGTGGACAAATAAGACAAAATCACTTACATTTTGTTCTTTTCCCATGTTGTCTATTGGTTGTTGTTGTAGTCGTTGTGAAGATGATTCAGTTACAGTACAATCATTCACGGTCAAATGCTGATCGTGTACAACAGAACTATCGTCAGTTTGTGTTGCATTATCAATTGACAATATAGTACAACTAATTATATTTTCGGATTGATTTTGATTTTCCATTTGCAAAATATTCAAATGTTCAATTTGTTTAGATAAGGCATAATTCATTTCATTGGAAGACTTAATTTCTGATTGATAATTATTACACTTAACAAACAATAAAAGAAAGAAACCAGAACATTAAAAAAAGCTTATTATCAGAAAAGAAATGGTCGCAAAAATTACATTCCAGTAGTTCAAAGATTGTTTAAACATTCAACAATATAAGGAGGACTAAAAGAAGCACTTGTTTTTGTCACTCAAACAATAAACATTATTACAAGAAGACACCAAATAGATATGCACCAAACCAATCATTCGATTCATGTAAAGACCGTGATACTACACGCGTGCACAAATTAAATCAAGTGGTTTCCTTACGAGGCAACACTCGGAGCCTTCAACCTAAAGTTCTAATCCATAAAACAGTGGAGCAACATAAGGAGATGCTGTCCCATGGGTAGCCAGTGACCAACAATACGTTCATACACCGTTTGTCTCCTCACCATCCTAAAGCCCATGTGCACGATTGATTTGAAATTACGGTTTTACAACTCTCCTAGGTGGATTCTCCATGTTCACCAAACCGGTTAAAGCAGCAGATATTTGCTTTTCATCCTCTCCATTTCGTAAACAACAGTAACTCCACGAGAAGGTAGTGAGTAGGACTTCTCTGACAGTGGTTGTATACACCTGGCCACGTGAGAACATTGGGAGTGGGAGAGCTGACTCTACCTACTAAAGAACATACTAGGACATTTGAAGGCGGACTAAACGAAGACGTAAACCTAAAATACGGTTAAATATATCTGTAGATATACTTCAATTCTAGAACCACAGTTAGCTATCAACATACTACTAGTCTATGGCACAGATATTCCAATAGTACATTAGTACAAATAGGTCGACAACGCCATAGATTTCCATATACTATCAAATGAAATGATGATCATCGAACTTCCAAAAATCTCAGACATAAGATTTACGTTTACCTTTATTATCTACCGGGGTATGAAAATGTTAAATCTTTCTTTCATTTAAGATATGTTGATTGACTCAGCCATTTCATCAGATAAAGATGTATTCAACACTTTAAAACACAAGACTTTTGTAAACAATACCAACCAGCAGATGATTAAAACGGCATATCTGTAATTCTATGGGTTAACTATATTTACTAAATCATAATAACAAACTGAATTTTCAAGTGATTAAAGACTTAAAATGGGTTGCGGAAAACCATAACAGTGACTCATATTATCACAAGTAGGGGGACTAGTGTAATAGTTCATTCAGTTGAGCAATAACTACACACTTCTTCATTGAACAGAATACATCTTCATCGAAAAATAACTAGCAAACTTCCCAGCGAGATCGATAATCTTCACACTTGAAGTCAATATTTAAAAGCAGGTTAGTTGACACTATAAAATATATTCAAAAGACATACCATTTGCGTGTATGCAGTTTGTAAATCAGATAATTGTTGTTTTAAATTCTTATTTTGTTCCACAGCTCGACTTAAGGCACTTCGTTCCGATGTGGCTGTAGCTAAAACAACATCACGATCAGCTAACGAATTTTGTAACTGTTCAACAGTTTCCTCAAATGTAGATAATTGAACAGTCAATCGACGTACCTACAATCAAAAAGATTGTTATTAAAAGAATATGAAACGGCTAATATACAAGTACAAATAGAACACTAAAATCAAAGCATGAAATTAAGGAGATATTACTTAAGTGATTTTCGAGATAAAAGTTACTTTAAAAATAAAGATTCAGAATAGATGAAATAAAAAAATAAACGCATCATATCTGAACACTATATTTTACATAGCTAGGAAAAGACAGATTTAGGTCCTGGGGTTCAATGGATGGAGAAGTAGTGAGTACACATTACCAATTAGTCTTGCGGTAGAATGAAACAGCTATACAACTTTCTACTGATTTTCAATAATAGCCTAATTGAAATCCATCTGTGACGAGTATTTGAAGGTGATAAAACGCCTTGTCAAAGTAACCTGGAAGAAATTCAATCACTCGCTAAGGACAAAACAAGCATAAAAATAGGTGTGAGGAACTAACACTGACAGTTAGAGTTAGACGTCAGGGTTTTTTTCAAAAAGTAGCATCAGCAATAGTACCAAAATACTAAATTGTCATACAAGTGAGTGAATTTCACGCCAAAATCAAATACTCGATTTCTTAGGTCTGATCAGTTTCTCAATAGATCAAAGTCCTGCATTCATCATCTACTACATAGTATAAAATAAAACTGCTACTTTCAAACTATTTTCAGATAACCTGTTTAACATATACATTAAAATGTCACAATTTATTACGGTATTATTCGTAGTGGAAATCTAAGAGTAAGAAATTTTATTTGCCCCTACAAACAAAGGCATATTGAAATATATAGTCATTCGATTTCTCAGTATCAGAATTTTATCAAATACTTAATTAGTTTTATGGAGTGCGCTAATTATGCATGCCGCCAAATGACCTGGTACGACCAAGAGTGGGTAGAGTCAGCTCTCTCTCTCCCAATGCTCTTCACATGGCCACGTGTATACAACCACTGTCAGAAAAGTCTTACTCACTACCTTCTCGTGGAGTTACTGTTTACGAAATGGAGAGGACGGAAAGCAAATATCCGGTGCTTTAACCGGGTCGGGGAACACAGATGATTCACTAAGGAGAGATGGAAAACCATGATTCCAAATCAATGATGTATATGGGCTCTAAGATCGTGAGGAGACAAACGGCGTATGAACGTATTATTGGTCACTGGCTACCCATGGGACAGCATCTCCTTATGTTGCTCCACTGCCTTATGTATTAGAACTTTAGCTTGAAGGTTCCGAGTGTGTGCCCTTAATAAAACCATTGAATTTGTTTTAGGCACACGTGCAGTATCATAGTCCTCACACAAATCGAATGATTTGTGTGGCGCATATCTATTTGGTACCTCCTTGACATTATCTTTTCCATAAATGTTTACAGATTAGGTTTGTATCGAGATATCCATTGATTTTTGATTGGCCTGAATACTGTGCTTCTAACAATCCTCTGTAGTTCTTGGAGTTTCTTCAACCGGATTCATATCCATTGTTGTCTGCTTCGACTGATATCAGTCTAACGATATTATGTCGCCCCACTGCCAATTTATGTTTATTTATGGGTACAGAAAGGGGTAGTTTAATTTGTTCAATGTAATATTTCTCATAGTTGGCTCAAATCAATTTGGAAATGAAGTCATATTTGTCTTCCTGCTCTGTTATGTCTTTTCAGTGGATATAGTGGAATGAGGTGATTGTGTAAGTATTTACGCTGATGAATTGGTTATCAAATCATTAGGTTTTGCCATTCACAGCTTCTTAGTCATAGCTGGTTAACCACGTGCACAGAAAGTGTGTGTTTCTCAATTGGAGGTCGCGGATCATAACACATCTATAGTGAACTAATACTACATACCTATAACTAATCGAAATCAAAAATAAACGTATAGTATGTGTAAAAAGTTTTGAACACATAATATAATCGAAATTTAAAAAAAAAATTATTGTCAAACAAGAAAAATACAACTAGGAAAACATACTTCTACATTTGCATTTTCTAACTCTTCTGTACGACTTTTTAACTGAGTTTCCAACATTTCTATTTGCTCCAACAATCGTTGGTCAACAAGTGTACAGTTAACATCTTGTTCTTCAACAGATGATGATGTTAACGGTTTACTTTGAACAGTCGATGGAGTAGGAATTATTTGAATTGAATTCAAACGACATGCTAATTTAATAAAGTGAAGGCGATCACTGATTAGACTAGTGGTTAATAATATTACTTCTAGTAAACAAGATATAAGAAAGGAAATTTTAAAAACTACATCCCCTTAAAAATGTATTTCGTGTTTTGCGCTAGCGGTTAATTAAGCTTTATAGTTGAATTTGTCAGAAATCAGAAGGAAAGCGAGTGTCTAACAGGTCAAGCTATTGTGGACTACGGATATCAACTTCACACATAGATAGTATTATCGAAACATGCATCCTTTAGGTTCTCGAACATATGTGCATCTGTTAGAGTTATCAAAATATATTAACATAGTTACATGAAACTACTAAAATAACGACCAGAGTAATCCAAGTTATAATAGAATCAGTGAGGGTAAAAATTTTTACACATAGATAAAAAGATTCAAGAGAAATGAATTTGTTCAATAAGAAAGTAAATTTTTAAAAGTAAAGAACTAAGAAAGGATAAAGAATGAATCTGGAATGATACAACCGATTCTGAGCTAAATTCATCTAACATTTCCAACAATTGTCCACTACAGCAATCGCGTAGACCTTAACCTAGTAGTTTACACCTACTTATACGCCTCAGTCGAACAATTGATGGTTTCATGGATTTCTGCAACACGTTAAATTAATCACCTTTACATTTCCTCTAATCTACTCCCACATTAGTCAACATAGAGTGTCTAGGTAGGTGAGTTCGTTTCTTGCATACGAGGTCGCGAATGTGCACCGTTGAGGAGTCCTATACTAAGACGAAATAGCAATTCAGTAGTTCCAGGCATTCGATGGTGGTCTAAGATCGGTTCTTGCTTTCAATTACATCCAATTTCCTCATACTGAAAATAGTCATTTTATGCATCATAATTCATGTTCATTTTCCTCTTACGCTTTTATTGATTTTAGTCATTGACCAATACGTATTTGTGACAGATCTCATGTTCACTTGATCTATATGATAATTTGAAATGATCTCGAGTGATGTAAGAGTTATGACGCCAGTTATTATTTCCTGCTGTCTGAACCGTGGAAGGATACTATGTTCCGGGTGCCAACAAAGAGAACTGTAACAAGTAGTATCGATGACCTAAGGGCATAACTGCAGTTACCACGGCATAACAGCTTGATGCTAGAAACAACCAGGCTTTTGTGCTTAGCTTTGTACTTTAAAGGCCCTACCAACGGCCACGGCAAAACATAGAGAAAGGTGATGTGATGGTTTTAGTGATGATGTTTTCACATCCTCTCCTCACATTATAAAAAAAGAATCATCGCAGTAAATGACAGTTACCTAGTGAGAACACCTTATTGT